TTTTGTATAATTTTTTCGTCTTTTGTATCTACAATGCCAACTAATTTCCGCTCATTAAAAATGCGCAACAGCGCTGCGTGCAAGTGCATTTGTATCTCAAAGATACGCAAAACATGCGTTCATTTATCAGCGGCAGCGGCCGCGGCAGCGATTGTTAATTTATGGCGCGTGTGGGCGACAAGCTTCCTGCATGCGCGCATCCCTCAGATACATATGTATCTGCGACTGCTGCAGCAACAGCTTCTATGCGAGCGAGCTGCTTGCTTTGTTCTACTCTTCTCTTTTCTTTTGCATTCTAATTAATAGTGTTTGTTGTTGTTGTTGTTGTTAGCTGCAAATCATGCATAAATTGAGCAGTCCTCGTTGTCGTCACCATCGATAGGCCGGGTCGAAAGTTCTGTTCGTTTCATTTTAAGTTAGCGCACGCAACGCACATACACACACACACACACCGGCATATCAAATGCCGCATCTAGCTAAAATATTGTATCTTGTAGTACGTTTTGTATCTCGCTCTCTTTCTTTCCATGTCACTCGCTTGTTCTTCTGCTTCGGCTGCGCTCGTCCGTTCGTTCGTGCGTCGCTTTGCTGTCGGAAATAATTTCAACTTTTGGTCGTTGAACTCTTTTTGATTTATTTATTTTATTTTTTGTTTTTGTTGTTTTTTCGCTCTCAAAACATGAAAAAATGCTTCTCCTGTTGTTTGTTTTATTTTTACTTTTTTTCTTGTTTGCAATTTTTTGCGCTGCATTAAATTTTATTGCGCATCTTTAAGCAGCTAAATTGTTGCTTTTATGCATGAATATTGCAATTTTTGGGGTTTTATTTTCTTTTATTGCTGGTTATTTAAAACTTAGAATTATACGAAAACCAAACCGGTTCCTTAGCTTTAATACTACGACGTTCGCAAATTCAAAAAATAATTTCTTTTTGTTTCGAGTTTTTTGTTTTTGTTTAATTTATTCATAATTTTTATTTTGTTTTGATTTATATATCTATTATATTTACTTATTATTTTTTATAGCAGACAAATTGAATTATTGCCTTTGGGAATCATTGCAAACACACTTTCAATTTAATTAATCTAATTTTATAGGTATTTATCCCAGATATTGTGCGAATGAATTCTAACACGACTGGCTACAATAGAATTAATAGTACTTTTAACTAAAATAAAGTCAGGAATTTAACAATAGATTGAATAGTTATAAATTAGAAAGCTTTGAGGCTTAGATGTAATTTTAGTTTATACAAAAATTCGAATTCTATAATTTCTATATTTATAAATTTTATTGTGTCAGTATATCCATGTTATTAGTTTACTAATTTATTATTTATTTATTTTTTATTATTAATTATATATTTTAAAAAATTATATTTTATATTAAATTATAATAAAATTGTTATTCATCATTACATTGTATTTATTACAATTATTATTTGTTGGATTTCTTTTTAATATAGTTTTAATATATTTTAAATACATTTTATATTATAATTATAATATTATATATTTCTTATTTTTTTTTGATTATTTTTTATATATTTTATAAGTATTTATATATTTTATAGAAGATTATTTTTTAAATATGCTTATATATTTTCTATAAAAGTAATCTCCAAAAATTAAGAAATTCGTAAAATAAAGTCTAAAAGTTCTTATTTCCAACTAGCACAGAATGTTCATATATATATATATATATATATTTTACTTATCTCGAAGTCAACTTCTCGCAAATTCAAGTTGAATCTCTTTAAAACTTTAGAAGAGCGTGCCTGACAAAAATCGACTTTAACTTTAACTGACCTCAATTTGGTTAGTTGGCCTTCCGCTGCAATTGCCAAGAACTTCAGTCATTAAAATTTAATTTTTGTAATTTTATTTTATTTTTTATTTTTTGAAAAACATTTAAAGCCAGCGACAACAGCAAGTTGCAATCTTTTGCGCTGCGGCATCTTTTAACGTTTCGCATTTGGTTGTAGATACACGAGTGCTCGGCTCCAACATCACATACAAAACATTTAACTTTAATTATCGCTCATAAAGTCGGCAACAACAACAGCAACAACTCGACTGCAGCAGTCATCATATTTTTTGTATTTTTCATTTTTTGTTTATTTTTCATGCTACGCGTTAATCAGCATTTGTTTTCTTTGAGTGTGCTATTGACTTGGTACAGGTTTTTCCACATTTTCCATGGGCGACCCGGGCCCCCCAACAACTGCGACCAAGTGCGACCCACTGCTCCACAGTTTTCCACAGTTGCTGCTAAAAGTTTTTTGCCAGCTGTGGTTGTTGCTGTTACTCTTTTTTTGTTTTTGTTTTTTTTGCACAGTCATGCCAGCACGCCTCAATTGTCGACACACACACACACACAGACAGAGAGATATAGCTGCAGATACAGCTGCAGTTAAAGATACACACAGACACACCAACACACTTACACTGACTGACAATGCGATATTGTGTAATCGCCCACGTTGATTTATCTTGTTTAAGTGACTCCAAAATGACGCCAACATCGACATCGACGTCGACGTCGAAAGTGTAATGTAATAACTCGCAAATTGCATTCGATTGTTTATACCCTATAATCTAAACACTTGTCACATGTCTATGCAGAGAAAGTTTCGAATAATCGAATTGATTATCGATTGATTGATCAGAAAGATTGATTAGAAATGTGTAGCATATTGTTTTGATTTGATCTTAATTTAGACATGGGTATAATTATAATATTTCGATGTGGATTAGAATAGTTAAATCATTTAACTGTCAAATATTCCAAATGCTTTGAATTTCACTAAATAATTTGAGCTGGTAATAACAAGCGGCAGGTCGCCGGCTCAAATACAGCAACAATTTTCAATGTTTTTATTTACGCATTTGATATGTTATTTTTGATACGAAATAATTTAAATGTGTATATTCTGTGGCATGCCCCAATAAGTCGCTTCGTGGCGTAGTGATCTACGGACGAAAGTTCCGGATCGAATCCCTATTACTTGGCTTCTACTTTAAACTTGGTGAAGTACTTTTTCCTTTCTATATTTACAGCACATCTTGTGGGTCGTTAATGCTCTTTTTGCCACACATATTTAACATGCAGTTTAAGTTACTGTTTGCTGTCGCTTCTGCTGCTACTCGTGTATATTTAGTCGTGCCGCATTTTGGCTTCTTAATGTTATGTTTGCAATTTTTGGCATTGCATTTGGCATTGTTTTCATAGCAGTTGCATTGTTTGGCAAGCCCCCAACTTGAATTCAACTTGTTGTAGTTTTTTTTTTGTCAACATGCAGCTGCACAAAAAGTTGACAATTTTTTTTTTTGTTTTTGTTTCTAAGTTCAAACTTAACTTTGAGATAAGTTTAAATGTTGTGGTCATGATCATGACTCATGGCGAATTGCACGGCATAGAATAATAGAGAGAAATATTTATATAATATATTTATTTTTTTTTTGTTATTGAAATCATGGCATAATTATGTTGTTTTTAGTTTCCTTATATGTCAGATTTTACGAGGTATCTTTTACTACTCAACATTTAATTTGTTAATGTTTGATGAGTTATCGCAGGAAGCGAGTCTTTCATTATCATATTTCAATTATTATTAATGTTTTAAATTTTATTCTTTATAAATATAATATAATATTTATTCATTATTATTTTATTTTATATTTTATTCCTTACAAATATATTATTATAATATTTCATAATATTCATATATTATTTCATACTATTTTCATAATATTTTACAATATTCCCGTAATATATAGCTTTAAAGCTTATTCTTTTTGAAATCGATTTTTGCACTTTTTTTAGTATATAAACGAATTATCTGTTTCCTTTTATATATAAAAAGTACCCTTTATTACCTTTATTTTTATGTTATTTGTCACTCTTTAGTTCGTTCTTTTCTTTCAATTTCTGTCAATTTTTTATCTATTTCTCAGTAACGATTTGTCACATTGTTCAATTCTTACGGCCTTTTACAATGTATCTCCCTATCTATCTTTCCGAACTCTCACTCTCTATTTACCCATTCGTCTTTCATTTTATCTCATTTTCTTTTTGGGCACACGTCACTCTCTCAACTCGCGCTTACTTTATTCCTTTGCTATCTCATTTGCTCTGGCGTAGATTTAGCATGTCATAACAATTCACTCGTGCTTAAACCGTTTGGGAATTTTAAACAAAAATCAAAAAAATAATTTAAGGGTCATTGTCTCGTTCTTACTATGTGAACTGTTTGTTTTAATGACTATATTTTATTATATTTCTTTAAATTTAAACATAATATATAAAAAGTATATATTATATTTATATACATTATATAAATATTAAATTATATTTATATGTATTTATAAATATTTGTATTATATTTCTACATATATTTATATATTTTTTTAATTATATTTGAGTGTAATATGAAAAACGTATCATTGTACCAATAAGAATAATTGGATAATGTATGAAGTAAAAAAAAAAAAAATGTAATAGTATTAAATTAAAAGAACCTAGTGTTTTTTAATAGATCCAGAAAACCGATCCCTACATTTACATATTTTGTATAATGTTTCTTTATATTTATACTATTACATTTCTATGAATTTATATATTGGTTTTTATATGTATATTTTTTTATAATATTTCTTTAAATAATTTTATATTTATTATATATTTATATTATATACATCTTTATTATGTTGTATATTTATTATATATTTATATATTTCTACATATTTATATTAATACTACCATATTTTGATATACCATATACTATTATATTTCTCTATATTCATATATATTTTATATTATTTCTATATATATTTATTTTGCTCATGAGAAGTCAATTATTCCGCAATTTACACGAAATGTGCACGAAATGGATCTATTACTCATTTCGTAGTACACTACATATCATAATCATTTTAAGAGGACTAACTTATTCATCGGACTCAACCCATCGTATCGTAGCTTAAAAGGACATTAACTCACCTGTCTGATGACTCTGATGAATCGTAACGATCCAAGCAGCGTTTCTTGATGCTATTCCCGTTCCCTCGTACTCCTCTATCTCCTCTGGCAGTTGTTGTTGTTGTTGTCGTTGTTCCCGTGCGTGTTGCTAATGTTGTTGTATTTGTTTTCGTTGTTGTTGTTGCAGTCTTTCTGGCGCCCTGATAGAGCTGAGATCGCAATGCGTTGATATCCAATTTGGCAGCTGCTGCAGCCAAAGAGCTTGTTGTTGTTTTTGCAGTTGTTGCTTTTGTTGTTGTTGTCGTTGCTTTTGTTATTGTTGTTGTTGTTGTTGTTGTTGCTGCTTCCCTGCCCCGTTTGGTGCCTTGCACAATGCCAAGCAGCAGTCGCGTGGGCGTGCTAAAGGACGCCTTGGGCGGTTGAGGCGGTGGCTTCAGTTCAATATTTGTGAGTGTTGGAGCAGCGGGCGGCGCAAAGGGGCACGGGGGCGTGGTGCTGGCGACAGTGCCTGTCAAACTGTTCAAATTGACGCCGTTTTTCAGCTGATCAAACAATGACAAAGCCGCACTCGAAGTTAAAGTTTTCTTGGCAATTGTTGCCGCTGCCGCTGCTGTTGCTGTTGCAGCCTCTGCTGTTTCTGCTGGTGTTGTTGTTGTTGTTGTGGGCGTTGCTGTTGCTTTTATGGGCGTGGCCGTTGCTGCCTCGTTAGCCGTTTCTTTAGTCTTTGCCGCAGTGTCCTTCGACTGCGTGCCTGACATTTTCTTTGCTTTGCTTTTTGTTTTTTGTTTACCTATTTCTTTTTAAATTTGTTTTCTTTTTGCACTTTTTTGTTTTCTCTGCCTTTTGTTGTTTATTTTCGTTGTTGCAACTGTTTGGCAACGTTCTTTTTAATTGATTTCCGCTGTTGTTGTTGTTGTTGCCATTTGTTTGGCTTACGACACATTTTTGTTCAATTCACTTTGCGCTCTTTTTTCCTATTGCTTTAAGCTCCTTTTCGCATTTGTTTTGTTCAAAGTCGTCAACTTTTACTTAGTTTTTGTCTCACATTTCTTAGTTTAAGTTTTATGTTGTTTTCTTCTTTATACGAATTGGGTTGGTTTCTTAGTTTTCAGTTCTTGAGACTGTTGAAAATGAAAGTAGATGTAGAGCATATTTTTAAAAACTCAGGCTCATAGACTCTCAGTGCAAACATCTTAACGTTTAGTTCTTTACAAGATATAATTCCACTTGGAGCACTACGGTACTTTACAATTCATGTTTTAGTACGATTATTTTTTATGTTTTCGCTCGCTAATTAGAACGTTTCATTTCCCGAGCTCATGTTTACTTGCGTTAAGTTTTAACTTTCGTTGAGCTCATTTTCCAATATATAAATTATATAATATATAAAATATTATTTTATAAATGTTTTGGGAAATGTTTGGGAGATATACTTTTCGCTATTAAAAACCCCAAAGCTACAGAAAAATAATAATGGATCTAATCTTAAGCCAATTTTAGGTAGTTAGCCCACGACTTCTCTATCAAATTTTGCATTAATTTTCGTAAAGCGAGCAACTATATATAAAAAATTAAATTTATTCTTTATCATATACAAAAATATGATAAACAACAATAAATATGTAAAAGCAAGTTCACAAGCTGAAGCTCAAGGCAGGAAGTCTCTTCGAGACATGGACCCGATCCACCGACCCTTTTTTTCGATGTTTGCAGCCCTGGTGCATAGAGAAACTATCTAAATATGAAGCTACATTTGAATTTATCTATGTATATTTCTCTGCTTCTTGTTCGAATTATCTTTAAAAATCTATCTATCAAAATGATTGCAAAAGAACCTTTAAAATCCTGAAAAATTATGAAAAAAAGAGCAAGCTATCTAGAAATGAGGCTAATTTTGAATTTATCTATGATTATTACTCTGCTTCTTGTTCGAATTATCTTTAAAAATCTATCTATCAAAATGATTGCAAAAGAACGTCGATAGTATTTTTTACCTAAAATATATAAATAGTTTTTTAATATTTCTTATCAACATAATTTTCCGCATTAGGCACGCTTTACTGTAACGCCATGCAATTGCCTATGAAAAATGCACAATTTCAAACGTTGCAAAAAATATTGCTCCAATTTGTAAAAATTATTTATTATTATTATTATTATTGCACTTTACTCAAATTACAGCCGTCGCTTAATTTTTTGCGCAAATTAAACACGAATTCGCTGCAAAATCATTTTTTGAGCATTTTTCGTTATTTTCTCCTTCACCTTTTTTTCTGTGACACAATTTTATTATAACATTTTCATTTATTCAGCACTTTTTTTTTGATATTTATTTTTTCAAATTCACAATTGAAGACTTCGATTGTATTATTCATACCAATTTAGTGAATGTATTTATTTAGCATTATGAATGGCAGCTAATTTTCTTCTTATGAGTTTTATTCGTTTCCGGCGCTTTTGTTGTTGCCTGTTGTGCATTTGCAGTGCACAAACAAAACCAAAAACAAAACTAAAAAACTTTTTTGCAAGCTTTGCAAACAGTTAACCGGTTCTCGCGTCTCTTGAGCTTTGTGTTTTTTTTAATGTTTGTGGAAACGTCGAACCCGAAACAGAAACAGAAACAGAGGAAACAAAGTCACAAATCTAGCATTTGTTTAACAACAAAGCCAAACAATTCTAATCAAATGCATTCCAATACACGCACAGAAACACTTACACTCTTGCTCTCTCGCACGCTCGCTCGCTCGCTCTTTCGCACATGTGACGTTATCAATGCTGCGTTCGCCGGGGCCGCGTTGTCTATTAATAATCAAAAAGCACACACAATTTTCGTATTTGTTTCGTTTTCGTTTTTGCATTCGCTGCAGTTGTTGCTTTAATTGCCATGTAAAAAATGTCAACTCGAACTGTTAATTGCGAGCAAAATGTTTGCTCGAAAACTGCACACCGACTCTCACTACCGCGTTGCTTTGGCTGCTGGCCTCTGCCTGCGACTGACTGTCACGACGAGCGCCGCATTGGTGTGGGGCCGACTGAGCGCCACACGAAGAGCTTTAGCCAACTAGAACCGAGCAGACAGCAAGAAACGAGCGAAATCAACAAGAACGAGCGTGCGAACGAGCAACGACCGCAACTTCGTGTCAACTCACGAGCGCCAAAACGCTAGACGACGACGGCTGCGACGACAAAGACGACGACGCCAACAATGAGTGTTTTTTTTTGTTTTTTGTTCGCCGAGTGGCAAATCGGCCGAGTTAGACGAAGGGGGAGCGAAGCACGCAAACGTTGGCAATATGCAAGCGATGCGATGTTCACTTTTGATTTCTGTGCAGCGGCAGCAGGTTTGGCATACTCTGTGCGAGCCTAGGGACGTGCGTGCGGAGTGAGGGGTAGCTGAAGGTGGGGTCTATAGGGAAGCCGGTTGTGCGGCTGTTGCTTGTTGCGCCACAAGCCCACACGCTTTTTTTTTTTAATATTTTGTTTTTTATTGGCTCTTAAGAGAAGTTCAATATTTTATTTTCGGTCTAAGCAGCAGATTTTCAACGATTATCAACCGAGTGGGTGGTGAAAAGTAACAGCATAAACATGTTGTATGCTCATAATATTTGTTACCTGTTGATATGCGTGAGAAATAAAGTAGCAATAAGAAACAGTCGGGAAAAGAACTGGAACAGGTTCCAGCGTGAACTATGTAACATACATATGTACATATGTAATTATAGAGACATAGAAGAACGTACACAATTAACAAACTGATCTTGTTTTACGTAATATATGTATATTTGTATTATGTAGTGCATCTTTGTATATACATATGTGTGTGTGTACATATGAATGTACATACATATGTGAAGTTTCCTTACTGGAATACCATATGTAATACTTCTACAGTGGGCGCTCGCAAATTAAAACGCTTTGGCTTTAATAGCGAGTCTTATTTGTAAGAAAAACCTTAGTTGTGGCCCTTTTTAACAGCAAAGAATTATTGTTTTTGTTCACAACGCGCTTATCTGCTTTTTAACATAATCTCATGCTACTTAATTTCACGTTTTTGCTGCTACATACATACGTGCATACGTACATATGCATATAAATATTTATAGATATGTACATAAGCATTAATATATACATACATACATATATACATAAGGATTTAAATATACATACATACATATGCACCTAAGCATTAAAATATACATACATACATATATACAAGGGAATTTAAACACACACACATACATAAGCATTCAAACATTCTTTTCCCTTTCCCCTACTACACACTTACATACGTACTTTTGTATTTTATTACATTTGTTTTCTTTTACACTTTTCGCATTTTACACCTCTTACTTTGCGACTTCTCTTTCACATTCCTGGCATACTTATTTTTTATAAATATCCTCTTCCATATTATATTTTGTCTTTCTGTCGCGCTCCTTTCTTTCTTCTTCTATGTTTCGTTCAAATTAACTGTTTGCTTTTATTATTCAACACTGATCTTTGGGATTGATTGAATGCAGACACGAAACTTTAAGTACCGTTAAGTACGTAAGTAGTTAAACACACACACACACACGTTTAATCGCCAGCTGTGCCTCAACTTGGCAAACATTCCGAGCGCATTAGCAAACCGGCGTCTTATAGAGCACCCAATGCAGCAGCAGCACTTCCTTAATCATGCACTAACAAAAGTAGCCCACGCTTTTTAGTTGCAGCTTCCTTTGCCCACGCAAATTCGTTTCAATAATTAAGAAAAGTCAATTCAAACGCAAACAATAACAAAAAAATATCTAGCAACAGCGGGAACGGGAGCGAGAATGCCAGCGAGAGCGAGCGAGAGCGCACAAATACATGTAAAGTCACCGTTGTTATCAAACACCCACACACACACTCGCTTCATCATTCACCAACACAACAAATCACGTCATGAATACAAAATGTACATACACATAAAAACCAAAAGAAAAACGTAAAGAAAAAGCAACAAAGTCAACAGTAACAACACAACAAAATCAAAGCCAACACGTGCTTTTATTACGTTAACGTATACGAACTGTGTGTGTGTTTGTGCGACTGCTGCTCTGTCGGCCTTTTGTGATGCAACTGTTCTGGCAGAGAGTGTGCATGCTAGAGCATGAGAGAGAGCAAGAGCGCACTATACGTTGGTATGTGTTAGCAGCAGAACTTGTTTGCTAGATTTGCCGTTGTTTTTGTAATTGTTTGACTTTGCGTCTTGTGCTATTTTTTTCAGCACCCAAAAAAGAAACAAAACTAATGCAAGAAAACGGCTCTTGTGGCCAAGTGCAGAAAATTACACAGGACTCATAATGTTGCGCGACACTTTTACACAAATTGCAGTTGGTATTGTTGCGGTACTTTGTAACTTTTCCAATTTCCAACTCATTTTACACACACACGCACGCATGCACACGTTACGGCACATGACGCGACTGCACTGAACGAGCAAAGAAAACGCACTGCATTAGCAAATCTAAAATTGCAAATTGCAATGGCTACGCAATTGATGGCGAATGAAAGAGAAAGAGTGAGCGTTACATTTTTGAGTGTGTAGCGACTCGAGTAAACCCATTTTTTTTTTGCTCTTTTTCTTTGAGCTGATTGGAAAGCAGTGGAATTTAAGAGATTTGACTTTGATGTTTAGCATTGGCAGATTTTTACCTAAGAAATTTGCTGATCTTGCAAAAGAAGCAATATATTTGTTACCAAATTAAATTAAACTTGCTTCATAAGAATATATGGATAGCTACTAGGAAGTGGCCCGTATCCCAGTCAGGCCCAGAGAAACAGAAGACATTGTAAAATATCAGGTTAAAAAAAATTAAATAAACTGATAAATACACTACGTACTAAGAAGAAAATATAAAATCATATTAAATTATGTTCAAAAAAATAAAATAAAAAACCCACACCAATTTTTGGCAAATACAATAGTCAATACAGAGTTAATCAAAAAAGCATAAGCTAAAAAAATTAAGAAATAATGTTTTCAGCATGGGCCGTAAAATTGAAATGAGCCCATCCCTGTAAAATACGAGCTTATAAGGTTCACCTTATAACAGAAATGTTAACTTTACAGAGTTGTGCAGTAAGGTAACTTTAAATAATGTCCAGATAACAGAAAATTGTACTGCTTAACATAATTTGTTACATAGCTTACTGTTCAGACTGCCTCGCAGCAGACAGCTAACAATCAAACTACAGCAGTGAGCTTTTGAGAGCGTTTGGGAATTTTTGCGTAAAGATCATTTAGCAGGGATTTTTTTAGCTCTTACGGTATAATTTAGCGCTTTTTCTTAATTCTAAAATAAATCTTAACTTATTTCGTACTTTACATCACTTTAATGAAAATTTATTAAAAATATAATTGCGCTTTAGTTTGTCTAGAATACTGTTTTTAAAATTACAAACATTAACAATAAAATCTTAATCGTAATAGGGGGACGTCGATATACCGTAAAATAAATTAACTAGCTGTAAGGCAAACAAAAAAGAGTTTATAGATTTCTTTACCTACTACACAAAATATATTTATATATACAATCTTTATAGTTTTACTTGACTTGGCAAACAGCAACTTGATAAGTTTAAGCGCATTTGGTGGGTTGCATAATTAGAAAACTAAACTAAACAGTCATCAATATTTTTGTCGCGACTGTACCTACACCAGTATTTTTATATATTTTTGCTGGCTAAGCTTAAACTAGTTACGTCTTGAAGACTTTTGGCAGACTATGTCCATACAGAGGTAGGTATGAGGCCCTCCTTGCTGGTGCCGGGCGGCGTGAGGACTTCCTTGTTGAGGAAATCCAGCGGCAGATTAACCAGATGACCCTGGAAGAAGTAAAGATTAAAGATTGAATATGTTAGGAATCGAGAATTTAAGGCTACATAAGCGAAACTGATAGAAAATATATAAAAACAATAATAAATATTAAATTCTAAATAAAATAACTAGGAAAAGCCAAATAGATGATCCTTCAAAAGTTAAGATTAAAGATGGAATACGTTATGGCTAAGGCTACGAAACCGATGATAAATATATTATTAAAATAATAATAATAATAATACAAGAGTTAAACTAAAAATAAATGCAAAAATTTTATAGAAAAAATATTATATTGAAATAATAATAATAATAATATATCATAAATAAAATAAGCAATAAAATAAATAATAAAAGTTACACACAAGAAAAGTTAGTAAAATATATATTATATTAAAAAATAAATATTAAATAATAAAATTGATTTATAATAAATAATATAGAAAATAGGATTAAAGTTAAACTTTAAATAAATGAGAAAAATTTAATACATACTGATAGAAAATAAATTATATTAAAATAAAAATAATTATAATCATAATGTATAATAAAGAATAAATAATAATAATAATAAAAGTAAAGCTTAAAAACCTTTTTTAATTTTAAAAATTGTAACAGAACCTAAATTTTTGAAATTCAAATTGAAACTAAAAAAAAATTGCCCTATTTTCTTATTATTAATATATATATTTTCTGATTGCTTTCAAATTAAATTGTGTAGAAATTCTAATATTTTTAATATATTAATATGCATTGAAATTTATATTAAAAGAAAAGAGAAATAAATAAACAAATCGATATTAAAAACGCTGCATCTGACTGCGTCTGAAAGGTTTTCTCGATACAAATGTCGATATTTTTGGTTGTGCAAAACAGTTTTAGTTCAAATCTTTAACATTCTGCTCAAAAGTCTTAAACCTACCTGAATTTCTGTGGCACGCTTGGCGGCCAGTTCGGGTTCGGTTTTGGACAGCGGCGGCTCCTCCTGATATTTGCGCAGACTGGCAAATGTCTTGACAAAATCCGTGGGTATGCACTTGAAAACCTCGTCGTAGATTTCCGTATTTCTGGTGGATATGCGACGCCAGGTATTATGCCAGAACTGATCGCAGACCGGATCGCTAATGTTCAGTTCACAGCGCGCCGCACTATCCAGATCCAATAGACCTGCGAGAGCAAGAGTTAGAGAATTGGTGGCAATTGGGAGTTGAAGACCTACCCAAATGTTCCTTGAACAGATATTTGCGCAATCTGCCGGCAAAGATGCCGCTCGGATACTTTCTGCCATTCATGCGCCCATCCTCGTACTCCTCGTCCATGATAATGGCCGCAATCTCCGAATCCCGTTTGCCGATCATCGAACGATCGTTGATATTCGCCGAACCGCAAATGACAACACGATCATCGGCGATTAGCAGCTTGGAATGCACATAGATCAGTTCCGTAATCGGCGTATTGTTCAGATACGAGTGATTGCGCAGACTGTGGAAGGATATATAGTTCTCCGGCTTGGCGATGCCCGCTTCCTGAAGGCGTGTCAGGATAGCTGTGCGACCTCTAGAGGTGGTAGAGAGAGAAAGCGAAGAGAGTTATTTATATTATATAGTATTATTTTGTTAAAAATTCCATGCTTATATCAGATCTTAAATATTCCATGAGAACAGTTGCTCAAGTAAGAATACAAGATATCCAAACTACGGATCTTCAAAACTATTCGAAATTTTCAAACACAAGATCTTTAAGGTTCCAAAGGAACAAATGCTTAGAAAAGAATTTAAAATATCAGATCTTAAATATTCCATGGCAACAATTGCTCAAAAAAGAAGCCAAACTCCAGATCTTAAGAATTTCATAGGAACAAATGCTTAAAAAATGAAATCATTTATTGAAAGCGAACGTTCCATGATTTAGTTCAGAGTTTTTGCCATACATCTTCCTTTTTTGATAATCTTCAACTGCTTGTCTTTAACAGAAGTGAGGTTAGGCACGCACCTGGATATGGACGCATAATTCCAATGGGTAATCGCGCGGACAGCAATGCCCGTATTGCCGCCGACATCGCCCTCAAAGCCCGGCAATAAAGGCATTATCACATAAACACGAAAGCGCTTGCGTTCCCTGCAAGAAAAATATTGGGGAAGGAAAACGAATTAGTTGGGAATTTTTGGAGTTCATATGGACTAAACGTACTTGTGGGCGCGCACGATGCGCTTGAAGAGGGTTTCGCCAATCTGATTTCGGACATTGTTGCAGGCGGCGGAAACGCCCATGCCCAGCTGCATGGTGATAAAGAACTGATTCTCAATATAGATATAGTGCTGGGCCTTCGTTATCGTCTCAATGTAGGCATCGTGTATGCTCTGCTCGACGAGATCCGCCTCGATGAAGCCACAGCTCCAGGCAGAGACGCTGCGCAGCAGCTGGCAGGTGACGCGCTGCTGTCGTCGCTGCTGCAGCTGCTGCAGCTGGGCATTGAGCCGTATCTGGTGATAGCTCTTGGGCATCAGGTAGGGAAAGCGGACACTATCGCGCAGCTTTTCCAGCTTCATGGCGTTCCAGCGCTGGATGAAATGCCGTGCCACATCCCGGGCCGAGGCCCCTACCACACAGAGGCCGACATCGTGCCAGGGCATGCGGGGCGTGGTCGTGCGATCGATGATATCGACAAAGGGCGCATTCAGGTTCATCCAATCCTTGAGTATGAAATTGGAATAGTCCTTGCCAAACCAATACTTGGCCTGGCCATAGAACTCGCTGAGTATTTGTGTGTTGGCCGTCGTCGCATTGGCTGCCGCCGCCGCACTGGAGCTTTGTGCCACATCCGCGGGGTCAACTGTTGCTGCTGCTGTTCCAGAGTCAGCTGCTGCTGCCTCAATGGCATCGCCAGCTCCACCCGTCTCGTCCTCGGCCGGCTCCAGCGTATTGTCCGGCGTCTCGCCGGTCGCCAGACGCTGCATGAAGTCCTTGCCCTTGCGTGCGCCCTTCATTGCATTATTCTTGAGCCGATCCAGCATATTCTTGCGCTCCATTTCGGGCGTATTCAGTTTCATGCCCTCCAGCGCCGTCGAGTCAATGGCCAGCTCACTGGACGCTGCGGACAGCAGCTCCGGGATGAGCAGCCGATCGCCGGGTTTCAGCGTGCGCAGCTCCACGCCAGCCGACAGGTTCGGTGTGGGCTCCTCGCTGGCGGGCGAGACGCTCTCCGGCTCCTTGGCCGTCGACTCGTAGTGTGCGTTGCGTGAGGATTTGCGCGAGCCAAAGGCCGAGTCCACCTCATCCTTGTTGAAGTGGGCGCTCGGCGTGCAGCGCGCGCTGCCCGAAACGGAGGCCGCCGAAATGCTGCCCAGGTCGGTCAGACGATGCGAACGATCATCCCAGCGGCCATAGCACAGATCTATGCCGCCTATAAATGCATATGACTGATCGATTACCACAATTTTCTCGTGATGCGCCCACAGCAAAATGCCAGCGCGTGCGTGATCCGGATGCCGCATGACCTAAAAGGCAAAAGTACATTAATATTGCAACTATAAATCCAACTATAAACAACTATAAATCAAATTGTTGCATTTCACACAGCAGTCACCTCTAATGATATTTCACGTTTTACCGAATTCCACCTGCAGCCGTG